CATAGAGATATATGTGGCCATCAGGTGCCATTCTGGATTAGTTTTTGTAGGCTTTGTTTATGAAGAAATAATATACATCTTGGAAATTAGAGATACTTGAACTTAGCTTGTTTTACTGGAGAAAACCATTCCAAGGGAAGAAAATGTTTCAAATCCATTTTAAACGTAGATGTGAGAACATGGTACTAAAAATAATAGTACTAAAACATTTTTCAAGTGCTTAACAGGCCCTATTTTTATTATTTCACAAGAATTGTCTCATTTAATCTTAAGTGGTTAAGATAGTTATAGTTCTGATTTCATCCCCATTTGCACGTGGCAGAATTTAGGCTCTGGTAGTTGAGTACATTTCGGAAACTAGTGGGCAGCAGAGCCAAGATTCAGACCCGGCTCTGTTTCCTTCCAAAGCACATATTTCTATTTTTTATTTTATGTTATTTTGGTTTTTGTTTTTTTGAGACATGGTCATGTTATGTAGTTCAGGCTGGCCTTGAACTCACAACAATCCTGCTGCCTTAGCCTCTTGAGTGCTGGGATTACAGGCGTGCCCCACCATGTCCAGCTCCAAAGCACATGTTTTTATCCAGTGCAACACATTTTAGTGAACAAAGTCATCAATGTGGTTTTGAAAAATGTGAGTTTTGACAGCCACGTCAAATTTTCTTTTTTCTTTTCTTTTTTTTTTTTGTTTTTTTGGTACCGGGAATTGAACTTGGGTCCTTGTGCTTGTGAGGCAGGCGATGAAACCACTGAGCTAAATCCCCGGCCCTGCCACATCTAATTTTCTACAGTGGGGTCAAAGGATTGTCAGATGATCAACATAAACAGTCTATGTTTTGTGACCTAAATAAAATACTAATAAGTAAATTAGAAAATATACTTTGAAGAATTTTAGTGGTGAATTTTTAGTGATAAATTATTAGGATATTGATGAAATACAATTACAACCTTTGATCTTTGAGAAGCTAAAAATGAAGACACTTAGCTGCAACAGCAAAAGAAAAGAATGCAGTGGTTAGAATTCCATTGGTAAGAATGAATGATAAGAGCTCAGACTTAGTAGCAAAAAGGCTCAAGTGATCTCAGTTCCTGGTTCCACTCCTGAATAACAAAATCACTGTGGTCCAGTTTTGTTTTGTTTTTTTAGCTGTCTTGAATCTCAGCCTCTGCAGCGGAAAGACGGAAGTAATAATAGGACCAACACACACCCTTATTTAAACTGTGTTCTAGTTTGAGTGGAAGGCTCTCTGGGCCATCAGTATCCACTTAGTCCAAC